TCTTTTTAAAATCTTAAGAAATACAAACAAAAATGAAATGATTCGCCACTTTTTGAAAAAAAAAATAATAAAGTCTGAGTGAATTTTTTTCATTTTGCAGTTTTCCCATAGAAAATAACAGACTTTTTTCTTTGATAAGCAAAAGTTGAAAATTGGTAAACACCATTAATAATGTTTTAAAATAAAACACAAAGTAGATATTTTAAAGTTGTTTTTTTTATGTTCGGGTTTTATTATCAAGTTAAATACTGAGTTGGTTTATATATCCTTCTTTTCTATTGAAAACATCTTTATAGGTATTCCAAAAATGTGGCAAACCGTTTAAAACGTTTACTATTTCAACTTAAAAGGTGATATAATAAGTTGTTTGTTTTAATGTCTTGGAATAAATAAATTGAAAACGGCAATACGAACATTATGTTACCAATTAAAAAAATAATTTTAAAATCAATTTAACATTTAAGTATTTTATAATATAATTATTTTAAAAATAATGCCATTTTACACAAATAAAAAAAATAGCAATTTTTTGTTATATTGTTCAAGTGATTAAATAATAAATTATATAATCAAAGCTACAACAAATAATATTTTTTCCGATAGTTCATTATTTCAATTTATATTATTATTATATTATTACAATCTAGTAATAAATTTTTGTTAATAAAACAACTAAATTATTTTTAACTGAGTTTTTAAAAAAGTGCCAGAGTTATTATAAAAAACATAAAAAACAATAGTTCGAAAAATCAATCCCACTTTTTTCATCAAAAAAATTGTGTTGAAAATTTGTTTTTTTTTTTGCACTTTTCATTATTAAATCTTTATTAAAAAAAAATAAGGGTCATTTTAAATTTTATTATAAGTTATATTAAGTTAATTATAATTATATTACATATAGAAAAAATAAAATAAAGGGCATACTTTCAACACTAAGTCTAAAATCAGACTTTATTTACTATTTAATATAATATGCAAATTAAATTTATAGTAAATACAACTTTTTACAGACATTAGGTTTGGTTCCGGAATTCAAAAGATACTGAACACCTCGAGTCAGTAGATATTAAGGATATTAGTTTTTTATAACAATAAAGTTATTCGAATTAATACAATTAAACTTCAAACATTTTTATCTTTTTAAGATTTGGGTTCCATAGGGAAGATTTCATATGGGGATTTTTAACCTTATGTAATTACTATAAATAATAAAAAAACAATAAAACGGAATAGTAACAACTCATATTATAATAAAATAAACTATATATAAAAAGAAATAACATATATGGTATCTGTTATATTTTAGAAGTTAAAGACTGAGTAATCACACGATGCTTGCGAAGCCAACTCTCCATATAGCGGTGACCGGGTGTGTTCACGGGCAGTTACAGAAAATGTATGAAGCTGTTCATGTTCACGAAGAAGCCACTGGTAAAAAGGTATCTTTTTTGATATGTTGTGGTGATTTCCAATCCCTCCGGACCGAAGCCGACTTCGACTTTTTCAAGTCAAATGTTAGTCATCGAGACTTATGTGATTTTCACCTCTACCACGAAAAAAAGCTCACTGCCCCAATTTTGACAATTTTTGTTGGAGGGAATCATGAGGCATCGAATGTCTTGTTAAATGCTTTCTATGGTGGATACTTAGCGCCCAACATCTATTATATGGGCTTTGTGGGGTTAGTCAAACTGTTTGGCCTTCGGATCTTAGGTGTTTCCGGCATATTCAAATTTTACGACGTCAACAAGCCATTTTACTATCCACCAGAGAGGCGAGACCTTATCACGATGTTCCACTCGAAGAATTTCCAAATTGAGATGTCAAAGAAATTACAAGCAAAGTCTCCTATCGATGTGGTGTTTTCACATGACTGGCCACAGGGGATAGTGATGAAAGGCGACTACCAGCAACTTTATAAATACCAGCCAGGGTTCAGAAAAGATGGACCCAAACTTGGGTCGCTTGTTAATGCAAAGATATTAGAGGAGATCAAACCAGTCAATTGGTTTGCAGGGCATATGCATTGCGAGTATAGAG